TAATCATGAGAGAAATGAAGACCCAGTGATTTCCCTAACCCCTTTCGCCTCAATACAGCAATCGCATCCAAGATCTAATAGCCATGATCACACAAAAACTTTGGCCATAAACCTCCTCAAATCCACAAGCTTCTGCTTGCCAATTTTATAAGACAAATAAGGGGATCGAAAGAGCTCGGCAGTGCGCTATAATCTAGTGCCTTCGAAATCACTGAAATGAAGATATGTTGTGAGATCATTGCACAGTACAGCTGCATAGTAGATTACTTGACCTACAACGTTTGTGCTTAGGTTTCTGGCATTTCTAGCAAAGCCTGATACAGGCAGGAAAGAAACACAAACTTGATCTAATTTCAGTGCACAATAGTACAGTATTGGTAAATACACGTGTAGATTTATCCGACAGTACGTAAAATTCCCCTAAAAATTGTTTCGTGTAATTATGAATCAAGGTTTGGAATCTGTAGCAGGAACTGCTTAATGCTGTTTGCAAAATTCATATATTAATGCCAAAAACATTGCGAAACCGTACGATCTTAGACGAAATGATCTCGCGGTAAACCTCGTTCAAGTGCCGTAATTCTGTTTTCTTCCCTACGCACATGAAGTTTTTAATTTCATTTTTATGTCTTCTTACACAAATTAACTGAAACTCTTTCACATATTTAAACCTGATTTTACGAGTTCCAAAGGTTGTGATGGTACTGAAAGAATTCAGGCTGTAAACTAGGCTGCGTAGTAAGCAGAATCAATCTAAGAAGATTAACTAAATCGACTGACAAATGTGACACATAAGTCTGATACAGAAACCTGAAAATCCACTACGAGCAGTTATGTTAGCTTGTCCAGTCTATGGTTTACAAAGGGAGCTGAGTGGCTATACAAAAAGTGAAGGACTGTGGGAGAGGCAGAATGCCGCCCAATCAGAACCGAAACGAATAAACGCCTGTAACAAGAGTCATACATGCGGATGAAAATACATAGATGGAAGTATCCGCAACAATCACTCGAGTATTGGGCCCGATTTTCTCAAATCAACTGTGAATAAATTTTTGTGTTTTTACATAATATGCAAAAACATATACTGTGACGACCCCGATGTGTGTGTATGTGTGTGTGTGCGCCTGTGTGTGCGTCTGTTCGGGTATTTCAACTCGGCACCCAAGCAAGCTCCGGCGCCAAAATTATGGGAGTGGGTTTCTCAGCCAAGTGCCACCCTAGGACCGCGGTACCAACCCTGAAGCACGTCTAAGCCCCGCGTACGAGCTCCTCAAATTTGTGGCGGGAAAATCGCTAACTCGAAACCAGAAAAGCTAGAACGCTGAAATTTTGGGATTATGTTTCCAGTACAAGTAGAACTCAAAGATTTCAAATTCAGCCCCCGTGGTTCGTAGTTCCTGCGTACGGCCCCATGAGTTTCCTGGCGCGAAAATCTCTAGCTCGAGGACCAAGAAAGCTGGAAGGCTGAAACTTTCAGGAAATGTTCCCAACTCATCTACAACTTAAACTTACCAAATTCAGCCCCCCACTATGAGTGGTTGCTACGTACGGCTCCGTGAAAATTCTTGGCGGAAAAGTGTTTAACTCCAGAACCAGGGAAGCTGGAAAGCTGAAACTTTCAGTAAATGTTCCCAACTTATCTACAACTTAAATTTGTTAAAATCAGCTCCCCCGTTATGCGTGGTTGCCACGTACGGGCCTCGTGAATGTTCTTGGCGAAAAAGGGGCTAACTCCGGAACCACGGAAGCTGGGAGGCTGAAACTTTCAGGAAATGTTTCCAACTCATCTACAAATTGAATTTATCAAATTCAGCCCCCTCCCTCCCTCCCTTCCCCAATACGCTTGGTTACACGTACGGCCCCGTGAAAGTTCCTGACTGAAATTTGGGTGACTCGGAAACTGAGAAAACTGGGAACCTGGGATTTCAAGGGAATTTGTCCCCTGTATAGCGTGCATAATTAACTTCCCGAAATTCGAGGACCAGTATGTAGAAGAGGCTTCTAGCTAGCGCAATTTCGAGTGATCTTATTGGAGCACGAAACACTGCAAAAACGCATGATCGCACGGGCCCGCCCAGTGCGCGTCGCCAATTATTTTAGAAATTTCTCTTCCTTGCAAGGATGTTTTCCATTCAGGACCAGTCTGTGCGCTTGATGTTTTGCTTATCCTATCATTCTCATGATAAGTTTTATTAACCATGCAAAAATTATTCGCGAGCGGGTCTTGTTAGCAAGCATGCGCATTAAGTCATCTCGAAGCTGATCAAAGGTGACATTGCTATTTAGTCACTGCAGCTGAGAACAGAATGACTTTTGACCGCCAGTTCTGCTTTTGAGAGACCCAGTAGGATATGTTCT